AAATTATGTAACTATTAGCCAGTTCTCAAAACCCTTATTCATTCAGTATTTAATACTAAATGGAAAATATCAGTTAGCCTGCCTGTCTGCCTATTAAATTACTATGCTAGTTTAAATTGTCCAAGCAAATGCACACAGATAGATTTTAAGTACTGTATCTCAGGGCCTTCAATTCCTTTTAGCCACAGATATCAAATTCACCTGCCACAAATTAAATAATTGAGCTTTGGTTACTGGAATGTAAGCTTATTAACCGGTATTAATAAAACCAAACATATAGAATGATGTTCTTAATATTATTTTAATAAAATCTCTTTTAAATAGGAGCAAATGTTACAAAGATGAACCATTATAAAATGTTTTAGCAGGAGGTTTAAGATTTTTTTAAGTAAAAGAACAATCTTATACACAAGGGGGAGTGAATATTATGTTCCTTTGCAAAAAATACATCATTGGGAACTGTTAGTTCTTCTAGTACGGGCATGAGGACTGATAGTAAGAAAACCAAGCAACAAAGATCAAACTCAAAAAAGGAGAGTGTTGGGCAAGGATCGTACATGAATTACACTTCAAGACTCCTTTGGCCTTCACTCCTAAGAGGGTTCTCAGGCCATTAGAAAAAGGTACATCATATTTTCCATGTCCTGTTTTACCCCAACCAACCACAACCATCCTCACCTATGGAAACAGCTTTGTAAGTAGGATTCACACAAGAAACTACTTCAGTCATCTATCCTTATGTGCCTACTTATTTATTTCCTTCTTCACTCTTTTAATTCAAATGTAAGCTTTATAAAGTCAGGAATTTTTCTGTCTGTTCCCCTAAAAAAGTACCTGCCACATTGTCAGTGCTCAGTTAGTACTTATGAATTTTTTAAGCAATTCATTCTTTGCCCAGTCTTCCCTGAAGGCTGACCACATGACACATTCTAGATGTGTAATATTAAAAGGAAATCCCAGCACAAGTAGAATAAAACCAATTCATGAGAAATCTTTAAATTCAATGAATTAGCAACCTCCTCATATTAAAATCAGTCTAAATTTAAAACAAGGATATTCCACCCCCTCCACTTGCCCAAGCAGAAAGCCAGGGAAAATGTAGGCCAGTGTAGATCACAGTGATCAACACAAAACAAAATTCTGGTTAAAAATGAAACAGCTGGACTGTTAGGTGTGACTCTTTAGAGGTACCAGGAAGGATCCTTGAGATAATAGAACAGTGCCGTACCTTGATGGTGATGGTGGTTACACAAATCTGTTACACAAATACATGTGATATAATTATGCAAGATGTTACTACTGAGGGAGTCAAGAGTACAAGACACCTCTCTATATAGATTTCTCACAACTGCATATCCCCTATAATAATTGGAATAATAAGTTAACAAAATAAAGCAGCAGGATGTTTGCAAAACTTTATATCAACAGAACACTGGCCAGATAATGTTTACCCAGATAAATGTCCAGTAAAGGAATGAATCTATATGATGGTACAGTCAGCAATAAAAATACTACAATTTTTGTTTCTGATATAGAAGGGTGTTCGCCATTCTGTAAGCTGAAGAAGCAGGACTTACAAGATATCTACAATCTAATTTTGTTAAAAAAATAAAGAGCATTTGTAAAGATACAAATCAAAATATCATCTGTGTCTATCAGTATGGTAGGTCTATGGATGGTTCTGCTTTAAATTTTGTTTCTCTACACTTCTTCATTTTTTTTCTAAAATAAACACTAATACCTGAACAAATATGTAAAAGTCTGTAGGGCTTAGGGGAAATCTGTGTTCCTCTGGAATAAAAACAAGACAAACGGGAAGATTACAGAGAAACCCATTTCAGCTCCATCTAAGGATGGATGATCTCCCTGCAAGAGCTGTGGAACAAGAGCCATCACCTCCTGAGCCCATGACTTCCTATGGGATGGTGTGCAACAGAGGCTGGTAAATTCCTTATTAATAATTACGTGGTGAGAGTCTGGCTTCAGGCAAGGTGGTTGGACCCAGCTGCTTTGCAATTCTCAAACTCTGAGCCATTTGATTTAGCAACGAATTTAACAGACATCACCTCTCATTTCAAAAGGCCCTTTTTATGTTTCAAAGCACTTTCACATATGCTGGCTTATATTCATTTCATTTCAGTACTTTTTTTTTAATCCCTGTGTCTATAACAATCCTGTACAGTAAGAAGGGCAGGTATTACCACCTCCATGCCACTGAAGAAAAAACTGAGACAGCCAGACTCATCTCCTTTTATGTTGTAGGTGAGTTGAGAGGTCACATCTCCTTTCTCTTGACTCACAGCCCCATGCATCTTTCCTCTAACGCCACAGAGCTTTTCCCTTCTCACCAGGGTTTGGAAACTAAGCAACTTGACCTAAAGTTGCTTGCATGATGCCTGCCAGTTGAAAGGATTTGATTTAGTTTTCTTTCAACTTTAAGTTGAAAGGAAGCTAACAATGCTTGGCACTTACTGAAAAGGACATCCCCACATGACTATGCCTACAAACTTATGTTGACTGGGTTAATGTCAAGTAGCAATGTCAGCTGGGCTTAAAAAAAATCACCATCAACCAAACTTGAACAGTCCAAGAGGCTGATAAATTTAGCTGGGATGCTCAGTCAATATAATTATCCTGTACCTGTGTTCTCCGGAAGGAGGCCTTAAGTGCAGCTTCTGGGCCAGTTAAATAGTGAATAGGGTCTATATTGGGTTTAATGAAGCAGGGTTTTGTTACTCTTACCAAAGGAATTAACAGAGGAATTTTGTATTTATTTTGCAGTGGCAGCAGATTAAGCACTTTAGCAATAACGTGGCAATTCACCAAAAGAAGTCTTAGTTAGGTGCTATCTGAAATCATGAAATTAAGTGGGAAAACATACACATAGAAAAGGTTTATATGTTTTAGAAAAATAATCCAAACTTTAGATAAATGATACTTTTCACAAAGTATACTAAACAAATGACATATTTTCCTTGGCTGATCATGTCATTTTCAGATATGTATCATTTTCTGTGTGCCAAGCCCTCCTCTGAGTGTCTCTCCTCACAACCACCCCACAAAAGTCATCACAGGAGGAAACTGGAGGGCGAGCACCATTAAGGTCACTTCCCTTAAGTCACCCAGCCACCAAGTGGAAGCAGCACGATTCCAACTCAGGTCTGACAACTCCAAAACCAACAGGCTTCACATTACTTGTTCTCTCAAAATGTTGAAAGTATATGCTCTTTTTATAAACAGGAAGTAATGAAAGTTTCCTTATAATGGCATAATAAATCATTCCTGGAGGTGTAGAGTTAAGTTGGGAACAGCTGGAGAACAATGAGAGAAACTAGGCTGAACTTGGCACATTGCACGCAAGGAGGCAGACGTGGAATAGGTGAATGGAAAAGAATCAAGACTGACAGAATCTATGTCTGGTATTGTGACTAAGTCATTGACCAAGGCAAAAGTGTCATGGGACCCTGAAATACTTTTCTTTTTAGCTAAATAAAATCCAGTCTCCATTATTCATCTAGTCACTCATTCAACAATTATTGAGCGCCTACCATATCCAGGCCTTGTTCTAAGTAGGGTGGTTACTGCAGGGACTCAGACAGGGAGACGTTTCAGACAAGGTGAAGTTCACACCAACTTCATGAGAAAATGAGGTAGTAGAAAGGGAGCCTGAAGTAGGAGATTTGGGTTTTAATTCTGGCCAGATGGCCGTAAGCAAATTACTTGAAGTCTCTATGAGTCTCAGTTCCCTCCCTCTAAACTGAGGATAATAATATCTGTTTTTAATATATCATCTTTTATTAGGAAAAATGAGAATTTATATGTTAAAAAAACTACTTATCCTTTGGTCTTGAAGAAACTGAAGTAGTTGACATGGAATAAAAGTTTTGTCCTCATTATTAAATCCTTCCAAATATTTCATTCCATATTTTCCATGATCTAAGCTTTCTGAGCTTAATGTTAACCATGTGTAAGGCTTATGGGGTCAGGATAAGGTCATTCTTCCATACCTAGCCACCAATTTCAAAGTCTATGTTACAAGCTTAAGATGCCATAATTATGTATGCCTCCCCTTATTGTGGAAGGAAGTTGGATTTAAATTATATCTTAGTGACTATTTCATTTTAAACTTATAAAGAGATGTTGCTTCTTGCCTACTTCTTCAGAAATAGATCCATACCAATTGATTATTTCTAAAACCTTTGAGTAATTTTCTTTCCTATGTTCTTCCATGATGATATTATTTCATTGTGAGAATGAAATAAGATCTAGGTGGAGATGGGTGTGTCACAGGCCCACAGGAACCATTTCCCACCCAGCATGCAGCTGCACTATGTTGATTAAATCAAAGGAGGAGATTGGTTCCAGTCCCCTTCATTACCTACCATGGCCCAGATGGGGGTGTGAGGGATTTCAAGTCTGCTTTTATCAGTCCAACAAATCAGAGTCCTGCTTTCTAAACAAAGAAGTACCAACCTTGAGTCTATGAAAGTCAACACAAGCCAGGCATTGTACACAAGTGAAAAGAATATAATTAGCAAAGTTATAGTCACAATTAGGAAATACCTCCTCAGAAAACTTTCCACTTAACTCTGAGCAGTGCTCGAATTACCTTTGAATTTAATAAGGCCTTGGTTTCTTGGCCAGCTCAGACCTTTGCCACATGTCCAAGAACACCATTCATACATATTATCCACAAAACACAGATGAACATAATCTAGGGCTGGAGACATCTTTCTATCCATCCATCTACCTACCTATCTATCTATCTAGCCATCTAGCTACCTACCTACCTACCTACCTAACAGATGTGAAAATGTGCAAATTGAAACATACAGCTCTTATTTTTAAAATAAAAAGTGTAGCCCAGGAAATGACGAGTCAAGTGTTAAGCTAAATTATTCTTTCTTCAAACTCTTTTTTATCTTCTCTAGCCTTCCCTCTTTCCCATCCCTAAAGAGAGGTTAAAATGAGATACTGGGAAAGCAAATATGGGTACTCACTTCATCTCCAGGATCTCCTCAAGCTGTTTTCTCCTTTCCATGCGGAGGTTGACCAAGTGAGCCTCCTTTTCAGCTAGGGACTGCTGGGTGGATGCGAGGCGTGCTTTGGTGGCATCCAGCTCCTGTCTGGTCTTCTCCAATGCATTCATGAGTTCCTCTATCTAAAAGACACATGGAACAAGGTAAGTCATTTCTTCTTGTTCAATCACAGGGCACTCTTTACTAGCCTGGGTTCGGACAACACACTAAAAGTAATCATAGCTGGCCTTGAACTGGGCACTTCATCTTGCAATTCATTCTTTCTTTGTCACCGGTTAGAAATAAATGTTTCAAGCACAAGAAATGTTCAAATTTCTCCAAGGTTCTCATTCAAATGGTTTGTCAAATAACTGCTAAAGAAACTATTTAATATATTTATTAGAAATGGATTCTTTGAGAGTGAGTTGACCCAATTACAAACTGTGTTTGGCAAAAATCTCAGATATTGCCTCACTGTCAGCAGAAGGCTACTCAAAGTGCATTTTGGCTGGCACAATACACTTTTGTGTGTAGGCTTCAGAGCACTCTGACAGGAAGCTAATCTATGTGTTTCAGATCCATTCATGTTTTAAACTATCAAAGTCTTATTTGGCAAAAGTGATTTGATGTCCAAAGGCCTCAGGAGCCCCCTCCACCTCACCTCCCTGCCTCGAATTCAGGAAGCAAGATTTGGCCAAAAGTAAACAGAGTTCCAGCCACAAAAGGTTCAAGTTTGGTTTGCCCCTGAAGTTTGAGAGGGTTCTAAACTTGAAATAAATGACATGTAACTTTTATAGGGTGCTAATACACCATAGAAATAAGTCAGACTATCAAATATCCAGGGTTTTCAGGCAGGTTCCAAAAAAATTGGACTGGGCTGGGGGGTGAGTCGCCATGGATTTATCCTCCCCAAACCTTTGGGGGATTATAAAAGCCAACACACAACAAAGAGGACTGGTGTTTATGGTTCTGTTCTAGAGACTTCCATGGAGCAAGCTGGTGAAATGCCATCCCTCACACAGATGTAGCTGCATGTACTCTGCTGACTTAAAACCATGGTTCCAGGAAGTTTCTAGATTCCAGAGTCGATGTTTGGGTTTCTAAGCCACCCCTTTCAGCTGAACTTGGCAGAATAGGATCATCCATCACCAAAGTCAACAGAACAACCTTCAAAATGTGTCAATGACATGTTAAGTTCCAATTCATAAAGACTTTCTACACAATTTCTACATTTTAACATGGAATTTACTCAGAATAAGCATTATAGATCACAGCCAAGGTAAATTACAGGATTTCAAGATTGAGAAAACCTTCATTTTGCCCTGATAAAAAAGGAAATTTGATGATCATATAATGTAAATCAATGCTAAAACTAAAATCAATTTTAAAAGGAACAACCTATGAAAGTCATAGACTAACACCTGTTTAATTGTAAAACAATTGGCATTATTCATCACCTTTGGAAACACAATCTAAAAAGCAATCACAAACTTTTAATTTCTCACATAAGCACAGAGAATATCATAATGATGACTTGAAGCCTCTACAAAACAGTACTTGGTAAGAATGAAACAAAGATTTTACTTCTACCTCTCCCCTCTTATTTTTTTAAAGATTTAATTTTAAACAAGAGCTGGGGTACAGACCAGAGGCGCGGGAGGGTGAAATTCACCAAAGACAAAGCGGGGAGCAGAACAGGCAGATGACCGAAATACACTGCTGAGGGGAGCAGCAGGCATGACAGGAGAGGTCTGCCACACCATGTGGGAATCTCCCTGGTCGACCAGGAATCGAATCCACGCTGCAGAGGCTGCGGACAGCTTCACAGTGTTGCGCGCAACCTGCTGTGCCATCAGGGAGGCCTGTCCCCCCTCTTATATTTTTAAGGGTAAAAGAATCAGAGTTTTGGGGATTCCAAGGTCCTAGTCAGATACTGTGGTCCTAGCCCTCCATGCAGGGTGTCCTGTGTCCTCACAATCCATTTCCTTTCATAATTATTCTTTGTTTCAAATGTAATATTGATCCCAGAGAGGAGTATTTAGGATTCTCACCTGCTGAAGCTCTTGCTAGCTGAAGCTGACCTGTCTGCAATCTATAGACAGAGCTACTTACATCGGTCTCCAGGTTCTAAGTTCATCTGCCACCTGACTTCTCAGCAAGCAGCAACTAGTTTTATATTAACCCTACTTTAACAATTACACTACAAAGTAATGACTTGCAGGTTGCTCCAGTATTTTCAGCAATAACCACATGGAGAAACCTGTAATCCAGACTTTTTACTTATGGAGATGGCCGTTGGCTTGCAACATCAAAAATTCCTAATATGAAGTGAGACTGCTATTATCATCACCTTGGAAACAGTCTCAAAATACCTTCCCAGGCCAAAGCCTCTCACTCCTCCTAATTCATGTGTCCTGACCAGGATGCTCCTGACTTTGAGGCCACCTGGGGAACTGGCCTGAGCTACAAGATTCTAATCTTAGCAAAACCATGCTGTCTATAACTCTGTGAAAATAATCACTTGATTCTCATAATCTTAGTTTCCTAGATGATGCCCATGATACTTTCTACAGTAACATTCTAGAGTCTTTCAAACAGTTTCCTTTGCTGCCAAAGCAAAGGAAGCAATAAAACCAAGAAATGCTTCCCCTGGTCTGTTGATCATTAAGGGTGGATCATAATATTCCTGTGAAACCCCAATACCTAGAGATAAGTATTATAAACATTTAGTTTAGTTTCTCTCTCTCTCTCTCTCTCTCTCTCTCTCTCTCTCTCTCTCATTATCAAGATGCTATATAAAATTGTGTCTAAAGTCTCTTAGAAACATAGTTTTAATGGGCAAATAGGGCTGTATCTGCCCTCATTTTCCTAAAAATCAGCCTTTCCCTTAGGTCCTCTGAAGTTCTCCTTAATTTAGAACCTATTTCCCCTGTTTATTTTGTAAGTTCCTCATCCCTTGGCAGTCATGACTGGGTCCTTCCTCTGTGACATTTTCCTCATTCACATAGATCATCAAAATAAAGACTGAGAACTTTCCCCATAGCTCTCCCTCTATGACAATGCTTCTGCAACCTTTGTCTCCTTTTACTTGACCTCTTTCACATATACCTACCTGCTGACCACTTCCTTGTATATGTCTTAATATCACTTTAAAACCAAGAAACCAAAAACCAACTCATGATCCATGCCTCAACCAAATCCCAACCCATCCTCACCCTCCCAACCTGCCACACTATTACACACCTACCATTTTGGTCCATTACCCTGACCCTTTCTTAGTCACTCATGTTTAAGACCTTGGAGCCAAAAGTGTCTTTTCCCTCTCCTTCCTTTTTTTATTTTCCATTCACCCCCAAGTCCTATAGTTCTATTCTGAAAACATTTCTTGGGTCTATCATTGGCTTCTATCATTACTTTTGCTGCTACCAGCTCAGGCTCCTTTCTTCCCCTCCCACATTTATGATTAGGCTGAAAATAATTGCATGTGTATGTGTTTATGTGCATCTATTTGTGTTCCTTGCCTTCATCTCTACTCCTGCCCAAAAAGAGGACATGACTTGTCTAATCAGCTTCTTCCCCAACAGAGGGTATGACTTCATCAGATCTGTTCCTAGATTTTAGGAAATGGATTAGCAAATGGGTAGCAAAATGGACCTGCGAAGGTCTATGCAAAGTTCTAGGGCAGGCTATGATGAGCTACATAGTAAAAGTAAGAGAAAGAAGTGAGAGAGGAAAGGGAAAGAATGAGCCTTGAGATTGGTAATGGAGAGAGGTGTTATCATGTCTTAAGAGCAGAATAAGACAATTAGGAGGAAGAGAAAGAAGCGAGAGACAAGTGGGGTTATTCTTGGAGTTGTTTCAGTGTTTTCCAGAGACACAAAATGAAAGTTAAACTTTGCTCTGTTTTGGTTTTTCTCAGCTGTTAGTGTGTCCTTGAATGAATCTTCAAACTGGATGTGATGGGTCTGGAATTCAAGGTGTCTCATAGGACTTATTATCACAACTTTTCTCACCACTGCCAGCAAAATATGCCTAAGTCGTCAACATTTTGTCAAAATATCACTGGCCTGGATCTCACATCTCTAGAGATTCCTGATGATTGACAAATCAGAGCACCAGGGATCCCACAAAGGCCTGGGGGCACTGATGAACAGGCTGGTGGATGAGAGGAGAAATATGAATCAGTAAAGATCGGAGATCCTGCATTTAGAGGGAGTTGTTCTACTTTTATTTGTCTTCTGTACAATATCAAATTTGAGATTTGAAAAAAAATTGAATATTTTAAAGTGCTGTGAATAAAGCATGGATTATGAAATCAGGATGTACTAATGATTCCTGGTTGACCTTGGGATACCAGTTTTCTCATCTGTAACAATAGTAGTTCTCATAAGAGTTATTGCAAGTATTAAATGGAGCAATGTATGTAAAGCTCTTAGTGCAAGTACTGGCAAATATAAAGCACTTAGTATACTCTTAACAGAAGAGGTAGCACAGCACAGAAAGTTACAAACTGAATTTAGTAGCTAGCCAGCACTTACTGTGTCACTCTGAGTTATACAAGTTTTCTGAGCCTTAGGCTCCTCACTTGTAAAGTGTGTGTGTGTGTGTGTGTGTGTGTGTGTGTGTGTATGTTTGGGCTGCGGGGGGTGGGTGGAGTTAATAACAGAACTTAGCTCAAAGGGCTATTGTGAAGATTCAGTCAGTTAACATGTGTGATACCCTAAGAGGAAGGTCTAGCTTTTGGTGCTATAAAAGTGTCAGCTCTTATTAATACAGTGCCTGGTAAATAACCAACCCATTTTATAGTTGTTTATTTCTGAATTCAAGATTTTGTGCTTGCTGTCACCTACCCTCAACGAACCATACTTAAACACAAGCAGACACATCCCTGAATTGCCCTATGCTGACCCCTCCAATTACTGAAATTGCCCATCCCTCAAGCTCTGTCATGGAGCTCTGGCCTTCTTCACAGGGCACGGTGGTTAAAAAGCCGGAGTTCTGAAAGCGGGCAGACCTGGCTCAGGAAGCCTGGTATCTGCAACTTTAGGTTAATCCTAACCCAGTGCTTCCTGAACTTTGCTGCATATTAGAATACTTAGGAAAGTTTTTCAAGTCCTGATGCTATGGTCACACCATTTAATAA